GTGATTGAGCCCTCTCTCTGCCAAAAAGACTGATAATGTCAAAAAGGATTGTGTAAAATCATATTAGTGTAAAAATGAAGCTTTCCAGAATTCCTGGAGCCAGAAAGACCTGGAATGAACTTACATCTTCCCTACTCTGCTTTTGCCTCCCTCCCTGCAAATCGCCCCTACCTCCAACCCTCAAATAGATTTTATTACTTCATGGAAATAATGTGGAGTTATAATTCTGTTATTCTTTTTCCAAATTGAGAGAAAATGAAAGGAAAATGAATTAGAAAGATACTGTTAAAAGAAATATACATGGTGTTTCCCTCAAGTTTGGAATTATTCTGGAGAAAAACACATAAACTTTTTACATTTCTACTCCTGTTAAGCAGGCACTAAACTTAGTGTTGTGAAAACAATGACTACATTATAGAAAAGACAATCCCAGTGATAATAAAGATTTGGAGGAGTAAAGAAAAAAAAAAGCAACTGAAAAGGAACGGTGGACCCTTGTTCTATTTTTCTCTTCCTTAAAACCAATTAAAATTGTATACATTCTAAAATGAGACAAACAGGATTTATCATAGTTTCATGCTCTCATATTACCCCCCTGAAGCGAAAGAAATATTTGGAATTATACCTAAAAATTCTATTGCTGGAAGATTTTTACAAAACCAGTTTTGTATGTTTCAGCCTTTCAAAGGAAAACAGAACTTAGGAGTTTTCAAGGCTGCTGTAAAACTGGCAACTTACCAACTCTGGCTATCAATGCAAATCTGAGGCAGGAAGTACTAAGGAAATTCTAAACTCATTCCCTCCCTCTGCAAGATTTTCTACATTTTCATGTGCGAGAAGTGTGTTAAGGGGTTGCTTTGTTTTGCTTTTGAAGGATCTGTACATTCACATCTTTAAGAATACCCTTGCCCCACTGGAGCCTCTCTCTTCCTTTGCCTACTCCTCAGTCCTGTGTTTTCAAGTGCTTGCTCTTTCTATGGCACGATCAATTGGGCTCCAGCTAGACTTTTAGAGCCGGGCTGCCATCCAGGCTGCAGATGGCTGGAGATTCAGCCTGAAATCAGTTTGCAGTTGACGAATTACTCCTTACACCTGACCCCAACTTCACACCAGGCTCTGAACACAATCTGAGTACCACCAGCCACAGAAATTCTATAAGGGTCCCATAGTCTGAACTCCTTTTTTCAAGATCTTCTGGGGAAGCAGATAGGCCAAGAAGGGAAGGCACTAGATTGATGTAAGAAAAACGTGAACAGAAATTGTGTACTGGATTGGTAGAAACAGTGAACTGGTAAGGGTGTGGAAAAGGAAGAAAGGACAGGCTTGCTGTGTGTGCTTGGGTGAATTTTAAAGTTTTATGAAGATGACTAAAGTTTTCCAATATCACATATGACAGAAATATCTATTTCTCAACTACAAAATATCAATTCCCCAGGCTGTGACTATGTTTTACTCTTTTTAGCTTTCCCAGTTCAACTAATTTGTTTTTCCAAGAAAACCCCGTAAAAGTACCTCAAATTCAGATTGAAATTCACCCTGGATCTCATAATGCAATAGCAACAGGTTGGTTGCTTTGAATGGGCTGTAAAAAAAATTCTTGAGAAATATTAGGTTACAACTCAATCAAACATCATTATGTATATTATCATTAAGCTAATGAACTATTTTTTTAGTCCCCCTTTGCTAAAATTTGCTGATTATTCTGGGTGGCCTTCCAACAGCAAATTTGTTTTGATGAAACTCTTTCTTTCAAAAATCCAATTGTGTCTCTTATTTAAATATTATGACACTTCACCAAGATTTCTTCATTACTTCTTAACCAAAAGCAATATTCCTTTTTGAATTGCTTCTTTTGGTAGGAAAAAAAAAAATGGCCAAAAAGGAAATTGACAAATGACAATTTTTAATGTGAAGTCTGGGAGAATAAGCGTACTATAACAACCTTGCTACAAGGTATAGCTGCGAGTCAGACCCTGAGTTTTCATTTTATTTAACTTATACATTTTTCTAATATAACATTTTAAGCACTAGAAAACTATTCAGAGACAAAAGTATAAATATCTGATTTCTAATTTTTTTTCTTTTTAAGCAACAAAGTTAAGAGATTGGTTCTAATGTAATGGGAAATCAGAGGAGCAGAAAAGGCAGAGAAGTGTTGTAAGTTTTTCTAAAACTTTAATTGCATTTGCAGAAATGGAAAAGATTTGTATTTATTTAAAAATCCCATTTTCGTTTTGTTTTATCATAAGAAAATAGCAGCTGCTTCTCACATGCATATTTAAGTAGAAAAAGAAGTTTCAGTATTTTTGCATTTTCTGAATGGAGTTCTTTAAAATCCCTTAAAGATTTTCTACTCAAAACTAATGTCAGCAAATAACTTTTGTGGATTACTTAAAAACACCTGAATTTAGACAACAGTTTAAGTTATGTTCTCAGCAGCATATGATTTTTGTTGTCAACCAATAGAATTCTATTTTGATCAACCATAAGTATTCTTTGTATATCAACATCATTTTAAATAGCTATGACATTAAAATTGAAATATAACTACAAGCCAAAGCTGGAAAGACAGTGGATTTTATGAATTCCACTTAGGTTTACCAAATAAATATAAGCAGCAAGCATTTCCTTCAAAATTATTATAGATTATATTTTGAGATTTAAGTGTAAAAGGCGACAGAAAGTAATGCCGAAATAACCCAGTTGTTTCCATGCTATCCTGTAGCATGATAGTACTGTATCATATAGTATTAATGCTGACCGAGAGTCCCCACATTTTAAAATATGATTGCGCATTGACCCGTCCTCCATTCCCTGTGTGCCCAAGTTTCAAAACAGGGCACGTTTTCACATTTTCAGCTTCCAGGAATGTTATTAATGCCTGTCATTTCAGAGCCGCTGTAACAATATTAGACAACTTCACAGCCCTGTCGAAATTTTACAACATAGTAATCAATATGAACTACCACGTTAGCCAAAGTAGCTGATCTTATATTCCCTACCCCCTGATCTGATTACTCGAATATCAGCTTAGGTCGCCTAATGGATCTAACTTTAAAAATGTTCCAGAAGTTGATGGCTTTGACTAGCTTGAAAGTAACAAGATCCAGATGCCGCCTGTCTACACAACACTAAACTACATAGGACCCCCAAACAGATTTTTTTTTTAAATTTTCTCTATAGTTTTCAGGCTCTCCTCTTTTCCCTTACCGTTCCACTTTCCATCTTCACCCCAGTCACACACACACACACACACACACACACACACACACACACACACTTTCCACCAGTGTAGCTCATCCAGCATCCTGTGTCTTTATTACAATGCGCATGACATTATTTCCTGCTAGTAATAGGTTAAAAGAAATTTCAAGCAGAAAAGCAATTATTCCATTCATTTGGATCTAAAGTTTCTTTTCTGAATATACTTCATAGTAGAAAACAAGGACCAAAAAGAAAGCGTAAATTTTGAAACATTTGGAAAAATTTAGCCAAATGAGTAAAAGGGATGGAATGTCTGATATTTTCATGCAGCCCTTGAGTTTGTTGTTTTTGTTTCTTTGGGGGATGAGAAATGACTATAAATTTCCCCTTTTTAACTTGTCCTTGCTTTGCCATTTCCTTGAGGAAGGCAGGCACTGTTCTCTACTCAATCCCCCAAAGAGTTAAAACTCCAGGCACTGGGGCAGGAGGGCTGGTCTATTTAAGCAGCAGCAGCATAAACTAAATGCTCACAAAGGCAAAAAGCAACGTGAGTCGACCTTGGAGGGGCAAGGCGAATCAGAGCAATTGAAAAAGAAAGAAAAAAAAAAGCAACAATCTTTAATATAATATCGAAAGTCTGCTGCCTGGTCTGGTTTACAAATAGGCATTGTTTGATGAGACAGAATAAATGAGAGATAACTACAGCATGAATTACCAAACCCTAATCACATCAACGAGTCCTGGTGACAGCACAGATCACTCAGGCACGCCTTGTTCACTCTCGGCGTATTTATTTATTAAGAAGACAGTGGAGTCTGGCTAATACAATATAAAATATCATCTGTAAAGAAATATAATCCATGCATTCAAGGTGGAAACTGTACCAACATTTTTTCCCCCAAATCAAGTCCAATTTAATTGACACATTGGAGCAGTGATTTCACACCTGAGAGTCTTTCATGTCTGAACTGCAGGATAAAGTTCACGGTTGGCACTGCCCACTGCTTAGTTACGTGGGCTTGCCACTGGCCCCCTAATGATCGTTTGAGCGCACACATAAAGCCTAAAGTATTTAACCAATTCACGTCCAATTATCATCAGCTATATTTCATCCCATTTCAAGACCCAGGCCTCCTGATGGCAACCAACACAGAAAAATAGAGCTTCTAAAAGTAAAGAACATCTATTGTAAAGCTCCTAAATTCAGTCTCTAGCGTCCTGATGATCCTCAATATAAAATAAAATATGGAAGGCAAATAAAAAAACAAAAATACACCTAAACAAACTCTAAGAGACTTTAGTTAGCTGTCCTATACCTTCCCACACCCTTCTTTCATTCTATACTCAGCGATTAAAAGTTTAAGTCGCCCCCACCCTGGCATGTCCTATCCAGTGGGAAAAACCCTTTTAGAGCCACAAACAAAGAACAGCTCACCAGAAAAGCCCCTGAAATGGCATTCTTGTGCGTGATAATCACTGTTATGATCTCCTTTCTAACAACCCTGCCCATCTGCAAAGGACTTTACAGATATCAGGAACATTTATGCTGCCAAATAATAACAAAGGAACTCCAGTGAAACTATTATCTCTCCTTAAAGAGAAAGCCACAATTCCAGGCTTGCTTTCTTCTTATAGTCTCCTCTGCCTCATTAACTCCATTGGTATGTTACTAATTTCAAAGAAGCAGGAAGACGTGATGGGGGGGTGGTTAAATAATAATTCACAAGCCTGTCGGTTTCCCATCCCAAGTGCAGACGGATACCACAGTGATTACCAGACTGTGGGCTGAGCCATACCTTGGTTTGGAGATAATGAGGATAGTAGTAAGTGTACTGGGGGTACATTTGTGGCTGATCCAGGCGTTTGCCCATGTAGCTGGAATCTTTATCTCCGAGGCAGGGAACTGGATGACAGGGTATAGTGCCCCAGGCCGAGCTTCCTCTCAAACCACTATTCCTGACAGTCCCGATGACTGATGAGGCTTCGGAGATTCCTCGTCTTCCACCACTCGCTAGTTCCAACACAGCAAGAATTTAAAAAAGAAACACACCAAAAAAACAAAAATAAAAAAAATAAAAGGGGAGGGGAGATCAGTAGGGAAAAAACTCCACACACAGCCTCCCCAGATCTTGCTGCCTTCCCCCAGCTGCCAGGGTCCACTTGGGATGAGGCAGTTTGCGCTCTACCAGGCTGTCTGTAGTGATGTCAGTTGCCAGCGTTTGTAAAGGGGGAAAAAAAAATCAAAGTCCTTTTAGCACAACTCCGAATCCTTGCAGATCAGCTTCCTGTCTCCTGTTCGTCTCTTTCCCCACCTTAAAGAAGAAAAAAAGAGAGAGAGAGAAAGAGAAAGAAAGAAGGAAAAGGAAAAAAGAAAAAAAAAAGAAAGAAAAAGAAAGGGGAAAAGAAAAAGAAAAAAAAAAAACACCTTGCACAGCTTAGTTGCTGCTGTCTCCCTCCCAGAGTGACATGGTGTTCGGGGCTTGTCCTGTCCTTTCATTCACTTCCCCTCCTTCCAGCCGGTGGGTGGAACCGAGAGAGCCTCTCCAGGGAGCAGCGTACGCAGTCCAGAAGGCTGCAGTATTTCCTCCAAGAAAAAAAAAAGGCTGCTTCAACCCCTGCTGCAAGCAAAGTTCCGATTCCCTCTGCTGGCTATCTCGAATAGCAAAGCGATTTTTGCAGCTAGTCTGCTGCCGCTGGAACTGAACCCGGGAACTCAGAGGCGGGCAGTGGATTATTTCTTATCCTTCCCTCCATCTACCCCACACAAGAGCTGCCGTCTTTTCTTTTCTTGCCAAGTTTCAAGGTAAGCCACGCTGCTAAACAAAACATAGAAGAGCGTGGGAGGGAAGAGGATGAAGGGAGAAAGGAAAAAAAAAAAATGCAGAGGGACTAACCTTGCTGGTTAAAATGGAAAAAGTGTGTCCCTGATGCTTTCGAAACCTGTTAACACGCTGAAGCCAGATGAATCCAAGACCTGGTTTAGAAACTAACCTTTTACTTCTTGGAGGACATGGAGGATGCTAAGTGTTGAAGAAATTTTAGAGTCTGCTCTGGAACCACTATTAATAAGCCAGGCACCATTAGATCACAGTGACCAACTTAACAGCAGAAATCATCATTCTTATCATTACATCCATTTTGTAAAAAATCAAAAGAGATGTCCCCTTAGGTTTATGAGCTTCTTTATAAAGAAAATCACTGTTTCTCTCATTGTCTATCTCTTTATGCGTATTTTAATTCATGGATGCTTTAATCGCTTTACTGATAGCACAAAAAAAAAGAACAAAAATCATAATTACTTGGCAGAGTTTTCCCCACCAATAATAAGTAATATTCTGACATGTCTATCAGCTGCTACATTGTAATACAAATTGTTTCAGAGAAAATATATTTCCTTAAAGGGTCCCTTTTCAAGGCGGGCGAGGCTAAAATTAGACATGCCAGCTGTGTTTTCCTGTGAGTGCTCACGCATGCCCAAAGCGTGGGCAGACCAATATTGAGCTTTTCTCTACTTTGTCAAGTCGGCTCTGTTCTCCTCATCCCAGAGTCGTCTTTTCAGATAAATGGTTCCTGGTACAAATGCAGCTTCTTAGTCAAGAAGAACAGAGAATCTGGGCTCTACCACAATATCGTGTCCATCCACATACAAGTCTCACTGCCCCCGAGGCAACTGGCTTCCGCTCAGGAGTCTGGTTTCTGGAAGCTGTGTGAGTGCATGTATGTTCCTTGGAGAAAGATAAGGATGGTGGGTAAACAGTTTTTTGTTTGACTTTTGACAGGAACAACAATCAGAAGGAAGGAAGGAGAGAGGGTGGGAGGGTTAGGCACCCTGAGAACACCATAATTGAGAAAATTAAATCAACTCTGCCTATGTAAATGTGTTATTCTGGGCCTCAGTTGTCCCATCTAGAAAATAGAAATTACCGCCAACTTACTGGCTGAAGGCCGTAAACTGAATGATATAATGAATCAAAATGACATTGATTTAAAAATCCTTCAGTGGCATCTCACTGTTCAGACAGTAAAGTCCTGACTCTTAGAAGATTTTTCAAGACACTTGAAAACCCAACTTCCTGCTCCAGACTCAGACAGTAAACTCTGCCCCTCACATTCTATACCCGAGTCACCCTGAACTGCTTTCAGGACTGGAATGTGCTCTCTCAGAGTCATTGTCTCTGCCTAGAGTACTCTCGCAACCACATCTCCACATCTCTTACCCTCCAGCCCATCCTTCAGGTCTCAGCATGGATATCATCCCCTCCGAGTAACTTTCCCTGGACCCTTGCTTCCCCACTGCACCTTATATTTGCCCTATTAGACTGCTTATCCTACTGTAACTGCCTGTTAATTGCTTGTTGCTTCTATGATGCTCTAAAAGCATCAGGAAAAGCAGGAATGTAGGAGTTCCCACCATTCTTGTTCACCTTCGTATTTCCAAAAACTGGCATGGTATCTGGCACAAAAGAGACGCTCCATTATTATTTGAAAGACATCTTAAACATGATAAATACTTGTAACGCAACTCTCATCCTTCCTTCAGTACTTTTCTTGGTACAGGGGATATAGTGATACACAGATCAGAATAAGGCCCTTCTCACATAGAAATGCATTCTGGTGGGAGAGAGAAATAAAGGAATAAGCAAGCAAATGGCCAGTATAAGATCATGTGATATTTAGTGCTGTTAATAAATATAAAGCTGCGTAAAGAGAGACAGAGTCACAGGGATCCCACTTTAAATAGAGCAGTCAGGAAATGCTCTCTAAGGAAGAGGCTGGAGTTAGAGGAAGGGTGTGAACCATGCCCTGTGAGAGCACTTACTGGGAAAGCTTGGCCTTCACCCAAACTGCCTTGATTCCAATCCTGCCTCTGCAGCATCGCTTTGCCTCCATTTCCTCATCCATCCAACTTCACTACCCACTTCATACAGTCATTGTGAGAATTCACCAAGAGAAATATGTGCAGGGTTTATAACACCTTGGAACATAGTGGATCTGCATGTCAGCCTGCAACTGGGGGAGGAGCATGCCAGGCCAAGGGAACAGCAAGTACAGAAAGCCTGGCAGCAAGAATGTGTCTTCGGAATGTGCAAGAAATGGTGCAGAGGTTGGACGAAGCAAGCCAGGAGTAAAGACTATAAAATGAGGCTGGAGAGGTACCCTGGGGCTAGATCTTATAAGCCTTGGTGAGAACTTGGTATGGAAAGCTTGGTAGTAGCAGTTAATGGTACAGACAGGACTCTGTCCAAATATTCTGACTCTAGATCTAGTCATCTTCAACTATAGAATGCTGTCCTCCTAAATGACCTATTGATGTTCCTCCAAATTCTAAGATCTATAAGATCAGGATCCTAGATTGGTTCTGCCAATTTTGCCACTATGGACAAAGGACATCGGTATTCTTTCATTAATAACTGGCCTAGATACTCCTTGAAGGGAAAGGCATACTGTCACATTTACAAATGAAAGGCCAAATAAATAACTCCTCAGCCCAAGCTATGGCCCACTTATATGTCAAGTTCCCAGCATATGTTGATGCTCTCAGCAATTTCTACACAAATTGTCGCTTTCCAAAATGCTGTTCTATTTCACTGGATTATTGTTATGTTCTGAGCATCAACTGTCATTAGCCTAAGAACATTCATTGAACATTTAAAGCTTTTTTCGTAAATAATGCAAAAACAGTTTACCACTTGTAAGAATTGTAAAATGTGTGTTTTTTTATGTTTTATTTTTTTCCCTCAGAGATACCAGTAGCCATGGCAATTCGGGAAGCAAGATTCTCATGTCAGAAATAGTTTTTATACCATGTCTGCTCTGTTGGAGCAGTAGTGCTTTCCGTTTAAATGATCAGGTTAAGGTAGGAGGTAACAAGTTGAAGGCACTCTCTAAATCAGAAGCCAGCCGTGTCCCATTTGCCAAGTAACAAACAAATTTTGTACAAATCCAAGAGCAGCCAACTGCTTCAAAGGGCATAGACTCTTCTAGAGTCATGTGATTCACAGTGAAGACTGAAGAGGCACTCATTTAAGACAAGTTCTTGGCTAATAGGATTCAGACGATGCCCCACATACTATCTGGAGATGGAGAAGTGAGGGTACTGAAATGAGGGTCAGTTGGGTAGAGACGGAGACTCTCTTCTGGTTTTCCCTTGATCTGTCCACTCAAGGAATAAGTGTGTCCTCTCTTTGGGTGATTTATTTTTTAAATTACAAAGACTTACTCAAAAGCCCAAGAAATGAACAATAGAGATATAAGGAAAAACCATAATTGTACTATCTTGGAAAGCAAGTGTACTATTCTGTCTTCAAGAAAGACATTCACGACCTTGAACAAAATTAAGAAAAAAAAAAAAATCCTGGCATTTCCTGCCTTCTTTAATCAAATTTGTGAAATCGCTTTCCAACACAATAGTTACCAAAGGGGTGTTAAACATAAAAGTTGGTTTAAAGAAAAAAAAAAGACAAGATGGCAGATTGCAAATCCCAACAGTTACAACTTTCTTTCTTTTCTCCTACTGAATACTTACCAACGGTTTAAGAAAATATCTGAGACAAATTAGGAGAAAGAGACTACTAGTGATTCAAGTGTTCATGGTCCAAATGTAAACTATAATTGAATGTAAAAATATTAGTATAGATACAGGCAACACAAATTGGCCTTGAAAGAAAATTTCAAGCCTCTGGACAAAATTATAAAGGGCCATAGTTCAAGACAGTTAATCAAATATAAAAGCAAGAATAATTTAAAACAGTGAACATTATTAACTTCAACAAAGTTTTACTGAGCATCTACTATGGGCCTAAATAATCAAGGATATCAGTATAAATATTACCACCCTTGTCCTCAGGTAGACTTAGCAACTCAGCATCTATCAAACTTCAGCCACTCATAAATGACCTTAATGTTTTTTCTCATATCTAAGTACCAATTTATAACAGTAATTATTAAATAATTTTTAATTGACTCAATTTTTTTCTGCAATACATACTTTTTTATACTTCTAAGCAATGATATACATGAAAGTTCATGTTTATTTTCCTTCTATTATCTTTTTTAAAAGTACATACTATCCTCTCACTCTCTCTCTCTATTTTTCATAGCACTTAATGCTGAGGTAGGCATATCTGGTTCTCCTTTACCACTAGGATTACCAAGACTCACACTTCTCCACTTCCTTGAAAGTGGGCATGACCTTGTGACTCGCTATGACCAATAAAATGTGAAGCAGAAATGACACATGTAAGAGTTTTTAACTGCTGCTGTTTGATTCTCCAGCCCACTCTTCTCTGATGGAAATGTGCTGATACGGAGGAGCCATAAGAAGGAAGCATCTTGGAAAGCTGAGAATGGCTGCCTTAAATAGTCACCATTGACTTGTCATGTGTGAGAAATAAACCTTTGTTATATTATGCTGTTGAGATTTGGTGACTTACACTGCATCACCTAGCCTACTCTGACTAACACAACATTGCTTGTAGTTGGATTACATATTTGTTGGTTTCCTTATTTGAGTATCTCTCCCACTAA